GTATATTCCCTATTTAATCCAAGGTCTAATTTCTTGAAATATCGTGAGTCAAGGAATCCATAAAGTCCAAATTTCAATGGCCCTCTTTGGTCTGGTACATTAGAATGTGTTTAAGGTAGTTAATAATAATAATTGCAGTCACAATAGCCATATTTAAAAAATATATTCCCTGAATACCTGAGTTTCCCCTCTTACTTCTGCAAATAGGCTCTCGATGCTCTAGAGAAAGGGGGTAACATATTTGTGAGAGGTCAAAAGCCTCTCTCAAACACTCTTGGTATGAAGGGGTGGTCTCTGGATAGAGACTCTTGTGGAAAAAGAGAAACTTGACTAAGACCTGGCTTAATACCAGGATTTCAGAATTTGTGGAAGACCGCTGGTTCTGACGTGTTGGAGGTCCTTTGGGAACAAGGCTGAGGGTGTGAACTTAAAATGAAGAGCAGTACCTCTGGGAGCCCAGTGCGGAAGACCAATGGTACTTGTGTGTGGACCATAATGAAGAGGCACATCGTAACACCTGACATATGCTCAGTGTGGCAGCAGGAGGTGATGGGGCCCAAGCAGCTCCCTCCTAACTCCTAGCATTGAAAAGTGCCAAGCTGACGCTTTTGTACTTGGAATCCAAGGAACTTGCCATTCTGAGCAGGGGCATAGAGGAAGGATTAAAGTAACTAGGAGATTGCGTGGTAAGTCTATGTATTATACTCCAAGTGGATGAAGTGAATTATACTGCTTGTTTTAAAAATATTAAGTAAAACACTAAGTAGCATCATGCTATTGTGGTTTACAGTACTTACCAGTTCTAGAATTTTAATGAAGTAAAGACCCGTGGGTAGTTTGACATGCAGAGTGGTTTCATATGCATCATCTCCAGCGTTAAACAAGGACACATTCAACATTAGCGTCTTCATACTCCCAACAGCAAGGTAGGTTTTATTTTCATGTGGCCTAAAAATTAGACAATATTAGTTCTTTTGTAGGGAATAAAAATTCCATCTCTCTCTCCTCCCCCCATTTCCATGTCTATAAAATATGCT